CAACCCTCACCCACACACACACACACACACACACACACACACACACCAGATAAAAAGTGCATAAATAAAACCTATGCACCGGAGTCAACTCTTTTTTTTTTTTTTGACCCAACAGTTGGACAGAGCAAAGGCTGCAGGAAAACTTGGACTCATGAAGCGTCCACAGAACAGTTCTCACCTAAATACCTCATCACATCCTGCTGTTTATTGCGTTTTATGTTTGAAACTTGTTCCTAATTAATGTAGGTAAGTAAATTGTGTGCACACAGACAAACAAAAGATATGATTGAGAGGGCAGGGCTTGGGAGTGTAAATGTTTTTAAATCCAGGTTAAAAACTTTGCTAACCCCCCTGCCCCCACCCGTACCTTTGATTAAGGTATTTTAAACATGAAAAAGAAAAAAAATATTTTACCGTTATTTCCGGACGAAATATCCAGACTTTTGTCACACGCTTTCCACTCTGTGGCTTATTTAATGAAGCGGCCTATACCGTATTGGCCCGAATATAAGACGGTGTTTTTTGCATTGAAATAAGACTGAAAAAGTGGGGGTCGTCTTATATTCGGGGTCTAGACATTATACCCATTCATGACGCTAGATGGCGCCAGATATCAATGAAGCGAATGCTGAACTTGACTCCCCAGGCCAAAGTGAACCCCTGCCACGAAGGATAAAAATAAAAATAGCGGTAGCACGAACAAGTAAAAAATAAAAAATAGCGGTAAGAAGGAAAAGAGAAGAAAATAATAGAAGCGATAACAGAAAATGGAGAAACGTAGTGACAATTTGGAGAAAAGTGAGTCGAAGATCGGCCAGGTTAACTGGCAGCTGAGGAGAAGTTATGATGGAATTTACATTTCAAAAAAACAGAAGCCATTCATTTACAAATGTGATTGCACTTTAGATTTGAATAAGGCAAAATAACATGCTTTTTCTCTCAAATATACTGTTATAATCATTTGTTTCAGATGTACTGTAATTATTTTCTGTATAAAAATTAATTTGGTGTTCAAAAAGTCGGTTTTCAAACTTGAGTCTTGAAAAAGAGGGGGTTGTCTTATAAACAGGGCCGTCTTATATTCGGGCCAATACGGTATTTAGATTTTTCTAATGGCCGCCAGGGAGCGCTCGAGCATAAAAGGTAAGAGTGAGACAAGTTGATATACCGTATATACGTGTGTCGAGGAAGACGCTATCATCCATCACAGTGCTGCACTGCATCCACTAAGAAAAAAAACAAACCTCCCGAAAGACATTGTCGTAAAAGTTGACACGAAAACGTAGATGGAAGAAAGCCTAATGAAGGAATGACTGACCGAGTGTTACAGCAAGCGAGGATTTTTTTCCATAGGAAGAAAAAAACATTACTCGATGGCGAACAGTGACTTTTATTTTATTTTATTATGTTTATTTTAAACCAGCCCTGTTAGTGCTGTTTTACTGCCGTGGGGCTGCCGGGTTACAGGCACTATTTGGAAAGAAAAGTTATGTAATTAAAACTTTGAAAAAGTTTTCTGTGTACCGTCCTCCTTTGTAAATATCTCATGTTACAATGTGGGCACCTGCGGCTAATAGACGAGTGCGGCTTATCTGTGTACAAAACGTTTTTTCCTTTAAAAATGTCATGGGTGCGTGCGGCTTATACTGAGGTGCACTCTATTGTCCGGAAATTACGGTAGTTATTTCAAAAAGGCAACATATTCTTCTTTACTTTTAAATGTTTGTTTTCAATGCTGTCAGTGTAGTCTTAGTAATTTTTTGGAAGCTACTTTTTTCTTCTCTGCTTTGCTCGTGAATGTCATTAACTGTTAACACAGAAAAAGTGCATGGCATACCTGTTTCTGAGGCCTGTACCATTACCCAGGTTGCCTCCAACAAGAGTTTGCAGGGAGGGCAGGGCAGAGCGGCTCAACTGCTGTCTGCTGGGACCCCTGCGACCCCCTGGCATGGTCGCCGGTTACCGTGGCAACCTCGGACGCTGGGACTCCCCCTTGCTCCTTAATGAGCGACCATACACGCTGAGGCCACTGTAATAATCAGAATGTTGTGTTTAGACTTGTGCAGAAAACATATTCGTGCAAAGAAAAAATTGGAGTTTACTTCCCCTTTAAATCAAATATTACATCAGCAAAATTGCGGTGAAAGGAGAAGAGAAGGGGATGCTCTGACATATGGAAAAAAAGTTTGAACATGGGTAGCTAGCTAATCTGTTGAGCGGTGGTTGTGTTATTACTTCGGGTGATGCTAAATGCTATCTTGGTTGACAGTTCAACAGCTGCAAACAAGTCATCACACTGACCCTTCTTCTTCTTTGCTTGTCGTTTACCTCGCAGCCCCATAATGTAAGACTGGAAATGTGCCGCCAGAAATGCTCAGCTTGCATTCAGCCTGACCACAATTTTCGTTTAAGGTGACGACATTTCCCATGATTCTTGATGTTTTCTTACATAAAAAAGAACCACCTTATTCTGATAAGAAAGTAGAGAACTTGCTTGTTGCGTTTTACTTTTTTTATGCTAAAATATTAGGAGAACTAGCTCGTTCTGATATGAGGTTTTTTTTTTTGGTTTGTTTTTTTTTACATTTGGGAAAGCTGGGCTATATTACAATATTACTGCAAATGTTGTACTATGTCAACTTGTCATTTTTTTGAACGAAGTTACAGGACATTTATTTCTTTTCCGCGTGAGTACGCCACATGCACACATATTTGTTCATTGGTTAAGCATCTGGAATCGGCTGCGCTCAAAACACGCTTGCGTGCAAAATTATCCTCTTGCGTGATTGGAATAGACCCACATCTATATGTAGTCTCTGCCTCCAACACGCACACTGCCGGCCGGGTTCTGCTCCCTGATCGAACATTTTACCAAAGGCCTGTGACATTGATCACATGTCCATCGCATGGTGTTATTGAATTATCACCAAGTACTAATTTGTAACACACAAAAAAAATATATCAGCATCTCTTTGGGGAATCAGGAAGTTATTGGTTATCGTATTAGTGGGAAAAAAAAAGCAGTTCTGGTGCATCTCTATATTAGGACTACATTTCCCATGATTCTAAGACACGGAAGCAGGAAGTACTTCTAGTTTACTATGATGAAAACATGGATACTGATTAGATGGGGATGAGGAGGAGAACGCCAGCGTAGGAGGAAAGAATTTAAATTAAAGACGACAAATTGAAAAGCTGACATGAGAAAATGAAATGATTTTAAGTGCGCCTCATGGTCCAAAAAATATGGCAAGTCACAAGGTGTCACGTTCATTGACTGCTATGCCAAAAAATTGCTTAATGCAGCAAAAAAAAATGAATAAATAAAATAAAATAAAAAAATCAAGCAATTACCGTATTGGCCCGAATATAAGACGGCCCTGATTATAAGACAACCCCCTCTTTTTCCAAGACTCAAGTTTGAAAAAAGACTGTTTGAACACCAAATTAATTTTTATACAGAAAATAATTACAGTACATCTGAAACAAATGATTCTAACAATATATTTGAGAGAAAAAGCAAGTTATTTTGCCTCATTCAAATCTTAATATCTGAAGATTTAAATATGTAAACTAAAGTGCAATCACATTTGTAACTGAATGGCTTCTGGTTTTTGAAATGTAAATTACATCATAACTTCTCCTCAGCTGCCGGTTAACCTGGCCGATCTTGGAGCCACTTTTTCTCTTCTATTATTTTCTTCTCTTTTCTTTCTTACCGCTATTTTTTATTTTTCTTCTTCGTGCTACCGCTATTTTTATTCTTCGTGACAGGGATTCGCTTTGGCCTGGGGAGTCAAGTTCAGCATTCGCTTCAATGGTATCTGGCGCCATCTAGCGTTGTGAATGGGCATAATGTCTAGACCCCGAATATAAGACGACCCCCACTTTTTTAGTCTTATTTTCAATGCAAAAAACACCGTCTTATATTCGGGCCAATACGGTAAGAGTCACAAATTATTTTTCAAATTACGGCTTTCAGTTTTTACCCCCCCTTGAGATTCAATGTAGGGATACTGATCCCGATCAAATGGATTAGCTGCACATTTTTCAAAGTTAGAGTTGCTCACCAACAATTATTTGAATCATTGATTAATCTATTATTTTTGTCAATTGTCTCATGAATGCAATTAAAAAAAAACACTCCTTTCCATTCCTTAATAATACAAAATCAAGACATTATTTCAAATTGACAGTGCAGAAAATGCACAAACATACACAAGGAGTGCAAAAGTAGGTATACAGTAGTATCTAGAGGTGTCGAGTCCCGGTCTAGAAAGTAAAAACCTTGCCACAGTTTGGCCTCTAACCACAGGTGCTTCTACTCAACCGGCAGGTAAAGGTGAAACCTCGTTATAACGTGGTTCATCTTTCACGATTTCACTGTGCCTGTATGTGTGTTTGTGGTGTGGTGAGAGTGTTTTTCTTCAATTTTACTTTTGTTTTGTTAAGTGGTGGGGTTTGGGGGCAGGAAACTTTATGTGCGCATGCAGGTTGCTATTTTAGTCTGCGAGCTGAGAAAGCGTGCGGGTGTCTCAGCGCTCCGATGACGGATTGAGATGGCAGCAAAGAAAAAAAAAACACCGATAGGTGTTTTACTTATGACGTTTAAGAAATGGGAATGCCAGTTGGACTTTTCATATGAATCATCCGAAGAAAGGCGTATCACTAAGCTCACGTGTGATGTACGCACAAAACACGAAAGAGACATGCGAGGGGAGGCAGGATTCCGAGGAAAGTATTGAAGTTGGTCATTAGATCTAAAGGCTAATCACTATGAAAAAATATTATGAAACAGTCTTAGTCGTTCTATAATTTACTAGTTGTAGATATGGTAACTTTATGAATAAAACATTTGTCACAAGGTGTAGTAATAACTGTCGGTAAGGCCTAACGATGACATATGGTAGATTCTTTGGTCAAATTGAGAGAAGATTACAGTGTCGTCTTGGGGTTACAAAGAGGACGTCAAGCCATGTCAATACGATATGACTATATATGGTAATTAGGTCATTTTTTTCACATGATTTTCATCATTCAATTACTATTACCTGCTTTTGTATTAATAAAGGGGGTGAGTAGCCATTGATGTTTATTTACATAAATAGTATACACACACACAGACACACACACAGACACACACACACACACACACACACACACACACACACACACACACACACACACACACACACACACACACACACGTATAACCATGTTAACAGTGTCAGGTTTACTTGTGGCCCATGATATATAGCCAGGACTGAGGTATTGTGTACACATATGTGTTTCTGATTGCCATAGTATTTCACAGTAATTGATATATTCATGATTACCAGTAAATTAATCTTTGCAGTGTGAGACTGGAAAAAAATACTCTGATATGGTGGTATGCTGTATTCATGATACCATATGAGTGCAATAAAAGTGTCAACATATTTTGATCCATTTATTTTATTGAATAAATAATAAAGTACACAGCTACTGAGGTAATTAGGTTCATTGTTAGTGCATAGTTTTCAAACATTTACCCTTTAAATATTATACTTTTGAATATCAGAATTCTTGATTATGAATATCAGTCAAAATAGAAAAATGGGTTCCCATGGTGAACGTTTACGGAACCCAAAATTAGTTACTGTGGTTTCCCGTTAGGTGATCCAACGGAACCGAAAAAACGGTTTCTGTGAATTTCTGAAATCCGCAGGCCTGCACACACACACACACACCATGATGAGCAACAGCTATAAAGGTTTGTGAAAAAGAAATCACTGCCGACCTAAGTAGAGATTTGACGTGGAGGCATGGGTTGCACTTTTACAGCGTGTTCAGTGCAGAAACTATCGTACGGACGTGTACCGTTTTAAACTTCTCCTGGCGCTCCAGATACCCATTCTTTGCCATTACCATGAGTGAATTGCAGGGAAACAAGCTTTGAATGAGAATAATTTAAAAAAAAGATATGTCCCAACAATTACCCAGAACTAAGTTCTCCTCTTGGAAAAAGACACCTGCACCACAGCCTTGAGTAGAAAAAGTCACTTCAGCGGAGTGGAGGCAAAGCCAGAGGAACTGTGAAATACACGAGTCACAATGTGTCCAACCCCGGACTGACTATTAGTATTATTTTATGGTATTTCTAAAAATTATCATAGTTATTTGTAAGAAAACGTTTATATTTTTATTTTTTTTCCCCCTATAGTACAGTATTTTATAATAATTGGCAAAATTAAAGCTGACTACTTCACAGATTTCACCGGATTTCTTTTTGGAATGTAAACGCCGCGATAAACAGGGTTCACTGCAGAAGTACCTGTGGCTAAAGCCCACCCGTGGTTTTTACTTGCTGGACCTGGGTTTACACCTCAGGATACTACTGGGTAGCTACTTATACACCCCCTCGTCCCTCCCCAATTATGATTCAGTTACTGGTTGGGTCTGTAACATGTGCAGTGTTAAGGAAAGGGGGATAATCAACAAAATGTAAGATATAAAAAAGCGAGATGAGATTTAAAAAAAAAGAATATTAATAGAGTCAGAACAGTACAAAACAAAGGAATACAACTGAGTTGTACAAGCACACAGCGAGTGCACAACTCAACTCCGTAAGCTGCAGTAGCTCCACTCAACTCAAATCATTTTTTATTTATATAGCGCTTGCACAACAGCTGCAGCTGTAACAAAGCGCTTTACAGAACAGATGACAAAACATTCGTTGTTTTTGGGGGAGGGTAGAGAATATATGCCCGTGACTTATACATTGGCCTGTCATGATAAATATTTCAGTACAAATATTTCGAAACTTTTTTTTAATGCCATTAATTCAGTGAGAATATTAGGGCAAAAATAATTATTCTACGTCCTTTTTAAAAGCGATTATCTTTCGTTTTTCAAAAATAATGAACATTTATAAATGTAGAACCAAAAAAAAAAAAAAAAAAACTCAGTCTATGTTAAAAAAAATGCACATCAACAAATATTAACAACACATCCAACCACATACTATCTGTAGTGTCAAGAGCAAAATGAGATGTCCCCCTCGCCTTCAAAATGTCCTCTTTCACCCGGTTGAACAAGGCTGGAATGACTGTGAAATCCACATTTCATTTTTTGGGCAATTTTTACTGCCTATCGAGAAGTCTGTGCTTAGGTTACAAGTGAATGAATGATCACAGGAAATATATTCACACCATCTGTATTATAAAGTTTTAATCATCAGAAATCCGTTTTTTTTCTACATATGCCAGCAGTGTGTAGTGACAGCCAGAAACATCAACTGTTATTCCGTTGGGTGGTAAAATGTATACAAATCCGCCTGTGCACCCAACTGTTGTTATTCAGATCAGATTTGACACTAAGTGCATCCATCCATCCATTTTCCAAACTCACTTGATTTTTGACTAAATTGAGACAAGCTTCTGATTTCAGTAGTCATACTTTTTTTCAATAGTTTTGTTTGGTGCTGATTTTTAAACAATTCATTTTTAAGTTATACAATAACATGCACATAGAATGATGAGTTTGAATGTGTAGCGATTTCAAGCGAGCTGTACATTCCCCATCGCCAGATCTCTATCCACCAGCGATCTTGCATTGGGGAGACACCAACTCTGTAAGCTGGTCTCGTAAATTACGGCACTCGAAACAAATATCTGGTAATGGTCGCCGGTCTTTAAGTTCTCGGCGGACGTCATTCCACCTCTGTTGTGTACGTGTGAGTGTGAGTGGTTCCTCCCACAGCCGTGAGCAATGTGACTGACAAGAGAGGGAAGAAGCAGCACGAATGCATGTTGAATACATATGCAAACGACACAAGTCCACTGATCAAGTTCATTTTATTTATTGAGCCATAAGTCCATATAGGTATTATCCTGACAGGCCTACTTGTGACGACTGTATACCCAACTCTACGCTGTCATTTGTACTCCTGGCAGTGACAGCTACATTTCAAATAAATATTGTGCCATAAATCTATGTAATAACGTTTAATATGCCCATTGGCTGTGCGAACAGAGGTAGTGTGAGGGAGGTAGACAAAAACAGTGGTGCTACAGTTAATTACAAAAAAAAAAAGGTGGTGGAAATTCTGATTGGCTGGTGAATTTGGAGAGTCACTAACAACATTGGCTGGTGCTCAAAAAAGTTAATTTAGAACGTTGGTAGGTAGACGAACGTGTGTGTGACGATGCAGTTCATTGTGAGACTGAGGAATGGCATGAAGAAAGGCCACCTGCATTCAACGCGAGCCATGTGGGGAGCCAGCATCGCTCACGGCGAGCCAGTATCGCTCACGGCGCGGTGCTTAGGTGTATACAGATATCTGCAAATAAAACATTTTGCCATCAAAGCGCTCTCACAGTCTTGTTCGTGTTTCTTCATACTTTGAATTGTCACGAAAGCATAACCAACACATATTTTACTGCTGATTACTAAAGAATGAAAAACACTAAACACTAGTTGTGCTCCGATCGATGGGCTACCAATCGTGATCAGCTCATGTTGCAGCCAACTAGAGATAAGCCTGTAAGCAGTGTAGCGTCCACTATACATTTCCTTGACACTGCTTTTTACAGAGCAAACCAGTAACTAAATCATAATACTGTATATGTATTTGCAGTTTCTGCTCCGTCAATTTTAAATGTCTTGTTTTTGTACAATAAGGGGATGGAAATTTGGATTTTTTTTTTTTTTGGTAATCTGATTTCTTAATTAATCCGAATATAATTGACAGATGTATCCATGATTAAATTCATTGTGAGTGTGCAGCTCTAAAATTGGAAAGTATGCGCCTAATCCATATGATCATTATCGGAATAGGTATCAACTGATCATAATTTATGGATGATTAGAAGATGCATTTTTGGACCCTGATTGGAACGTGCCTACAAGAAACCCCTTTTTTCATGACGGAAGAGAGTCTACTCTTTGTTTTGGTAGGTTTGGTGTTTATATTGTTCAGGGGGGTCTTGAAAGACTGGTCAAAATGAAATTAAAAACGGCTGGCAATTTGGGGAACTCTGGCGAAGACGGATGATATGAATGATTCACGTTTAAGAACTGTTTGTTTTACACATGAATTGAAATGCACTTTTAATGTCAGTTTTCGGTGCATTACGTTTAAGTCATTCACCCCCTATATTTAAGCAGAGTTAATTTTCAAATATGCACGATATTACAGTAACTTAAATGCTAATATACAGGTACAGTATACTTTTTAGGAGTAAAAGTTCTGACTCATCTTTGGTCAACACTTGGCCTACTTCACTGCAGTACTTATATGTTCCCCATTCTGATAGCACTTGGATCGCTACATATTTTATGAGCTGATCCTTGGTGTAAAAAGAACCACTGATTTCAAGCATTTGATGGCCAAATCAGTCAATTGAAAACACGCAAACAAAAGGAGAAACGTTTCAGTTGATAGCCACTGGAGAAAACGGGAACTAATATTGCATGGGAGTATTTTGCCATTTCTACAGACTTTAACCCTTTAAGTTTTGCATAATATGCATGCTTAAAACCGAAACAAACGTGATCCGATTTCATGTTGATCACACCGCTGTGAAGAGCACTAATTAAACCTGGCATTTCTCAATAATGACACCAGGCAGCGTGCTCTTCTTTTAGACGCCAGTTGAGTTCGGAACTTTAGCAAATAGCTTCAAATGTGGGAAATGTGTGGACGTGTGTGTGTGTCTGAACACCCATATGGAGCAGTTAAAGCGCTGTACAGTCACATTTTACTCACACGACATACGGGAGGGTGAAGTGAACGAGGATGCATCAGTCACTTGTGTGGCTTCCAGCCGGACGAGTCCAAACGAAACCGAGCATTCCTCCTCTCTTTTTTTTTTTTACTCCAACGCGACCAAATGCAGCACCGTGGAGATGGTGTACGGTGGTTCCGAAGAAGCTGGTGCGGTGCTCGGTTAATCCGCGTTAGAATGAAAAGGCGTCTTTTTCCAAAAAAGTTAAGCACAAACCTGCGAGGAACAACTGTGTAAATGCATTTCACAGAGACCGACGTGGCAAGCCAGCACGGCCTCTGTAGGACGTCATCAATGTGCGACATGAATCATGCACAGTACTGTAGTGAACAAAAGCAACTGCGTTTAAAGTCTTTTGTACACTTATGAACCATTTGTGATTAGAGCTTAGAGCTACTATTGTATTTTAATGGCGATTATATGATGGTACTCGGAAAGCTAAGCTATTTTTATTCTGTAGTACAAATATTTGTAGAGGGAGGCAAATAAAGTCCCGATTCAAACCAAGTAATAAAGTATATACTCTGAAATTTATTGTAGTACGAAGTAAAATGTAAAATCCCAACTGTCCATGTTAGGGTTGGGATGGCTAAGCGGTGCTGAAAAAAAAAACAATAACGTCATCGACTGACTTCAACTCGAAAATCCCAGAGCATACAAAAAACCTGAGTCGCGGATTCTCAGTCTATGCAGATGAACGTTCGTTTTGATTGGATATGCTACAGAAAAAAACATACCAGTTGTGTAATTGAGCATTTCGGTTTATTATATACACGCCACTCCGTACATGATCAATATTACTAGGCTAACAATATCATTAATACAAGTCGAAATAAAAGTCTGGTTTCAACTACCATAATCAGTTATATGGTGCTCATTGTACAGAATATTAATGCTGAGATCGTAAATGTTTCAATATCCATTCATTCATCCATCCACCCATTTTGTAATCTGTTTATTTATTCTCACGAGGGTCGCGGGCGTGCTGGATCCTATTTCTGCTGTCATCGGGTAGTGGGGGGGCTGTACACCCTGAACTGGTTGCCAGCCAATCGCAGGGCACACAAAGAGGAACAACCATTCGTGCTCACATCACGCCTAAGGACAATTTAGAGTGCTATGCATTGTGAGGCGGATGTGCCGACCAGCCGAGCACCGCGCCACCCAATGTTTCAATTCTCATTTTGATACTTTATCCATCGGTTATCTGAACCGCTCTATCACGAGGGTCGTGAGCGTGTTGGAGCCTATCCCAGCTGACTTCGAGCAGCAGGCGGGGTACACCCTGAACTGGTTGTCAGCACGCATACACAACCATTCACACCCACAGACACACCCTGGGACTATTTGTGTTCATGCATGCATGTTTTCAGAATGTGAGAGAAAACCGGAGTACCCGGAGAAAACCCACGCAGGTATGGGAAGAACATGCAAACTCCACAAGTGATCTTATCTGTAGAACATGAAATCTATTAAAAATTCTCACAGATGGGTTTTGCTGGATTTATTTTCATTTTGGGGAATGAAAATATCAGAAGAATGTGTATTTTATTTGTGAACACTTGTTTGACCCAGTGTGAGAATTCAGAAAATGGGATCCCAACAATCACAGTAATTTCAAGTCCACTTTATTGTCAAATGTGCTCTATGTGCAACATACAGCACAGATGAAATATCTTCCCTCTCAACCAGAGGAGAGAGAGAGAGAGAGAAAGAGAGAGAGAGAGAGAGAGAGAGAGAGAG